TTGGCTTTGCTTTAAACTGTCACATCAATATTAATCACATAGCAAAAAACTTAAAATTTCTATTTCTTACATTTAAAATAAATAATTCTTAAATTATGCCATCTTTTGCTTTCATAATACCTGGTTTCAGTACTTAAATGATCATGCAATAAAATCTGATGAATTTTACTTTTGCCAAATTAATACCGATAGGAAGTGTGTTTGAACTTTAAGAAAGCAGTTTTTAAAAATCTGGTTTTAGCAATCTACTATTTTACTAGCCCCAGTGTTGAGTTACTAAAAATGGATTAAAACCGTGTGGCTTTTCTTCTGAGCAGAAACAGATTTTGTTTCTGATGTTACAGAAGTTACAAAATCATGTTAAAAATGATTATCCTCCAGAACAGATCACTTTAATTTATTTTCACTAGGGATGGGATATTTATGTGAAAGAGTTTTCTGTGATATACTAAGTCATAATCTCCTTCTTCATTCCAACCACTTTATCAAAGTGTTCATGAGAGTTTAGAGCAAGAGACCACCCTTTTGACTTGGGGGACAAATAAAGGTTTAACATAAGAAGTAGCATTTAAACTATGGCCTTGAACCATGAGGGAGGATGCTAAAAATTGATGAAGTAGGGTATTCACTATGAAGAGAGTAATATAAACACAAATATGAGGGTGGAATAGTGGGGAGTATGTTCTGGGAATGCATGTGAGCCAGTGTAAGCCTGGATCATAAAGGATATCAGAGCTGTTGCTGTAAGACTAGAAAGACTGTTGGGAACAAAATGGCAAGATGGAAGGATTGGGAATGAAGAAGACTTGAATATGAGGCTCAAATATGAAGAACCTTACTGGGTAGGCATTAAAGAAACAATGGTATGGCTTGATCAGAATATCAGTTTATGTAGATTATTCTGGCAACCATTTTTGTTTGGGATTTGAGATGGAAGAGATTCGAGACATAGGGATAAAGAGAGGACAGGTGCAAATGGTGAGGACTTTGTGAGTGACTTGTTGTGAGGGCTGTTGAAGAGGGTGTAGTCAAAAATGACTGAGATTACAAGCATGGGTTGACAAGGAGAATTGTGGAGCTGCCAGCAGATACAGGGAGTAAGTAATAAGAGTAATCCTCTGAAAAGAGGATGAGTTGGGGCAGGTTTTGAATACATGGAGTTAGAGGTGCTGACAGGACATCCAGCAGGTTGTTGGAAACATGACTCTGAACTTCAGAAGAAGGGGTTGGGGTGAAGTTAAAGATTTAAGAGTCATCTGCATTCAAGTCCGAGTCATAAGCCGAGTTGTAGTTTTACAAGTCTTTTTCAGTATATGAATTATCAAGTCAGTACTGAAGACCTTACATTTCAGTAACTTGGGGGAAAAAATTCATCTTGGTGCCAGTCAGTCAGTCAGACTAAATGAATCGTTGGACCTGTTTGTGAGTTCAGGTCTGCCCGCACTAGTTGGGTTACTAGTCAGCCCACAGAAGCCATAAATTGTGGGATTTAGGTTTTAGACCTGGGTAAGAACCTATGAGATCATCTAGTCTTAACCAGCCTACTGCTTCTCAGGTGCAGAATTGTAGAGTAACCTGAAGTGACCTTAGTCATCACCACAAGTAAAGAGAAATAGCAGCTCGGTAGTACAGTGGCCAGAATACTGGGCCCAGGGCTTCCTAACATCGAGGTTGGCTTTTTATCCATCCAACCATGCTACCTTCTCACTTTGTGGAATACCCATGACAGATTTGTAGTTTGGGATGAGTCTTCACTTGCCATCTAGCAACCTTCTGGGCAACTCTTAGTGTGTGTGTAGAACATGCAAACCAATGTTAATATTAGCTTTGAAAGGCATGTAATGAAATAAGCCATTCTGCTGCCTCAAATCAGAGTACCTTTTAGAGCCAATATTGAGTGTAGTCATAAATTAATGAGACCAATGTCTTGACAGACATAAAATTCATCAAGAAATATTTGTTGAATACCTGCTATTAGATTAGACAGTGCTCTAGGCACTATGGGGAGGGGAGAGATGCATAGTTTACCATCTAGAGAAATAGAAATATAATACAAAGTAGAATATGGAGATGGGAAAGGAACACGCATTTGTTAAGTGCCTATGAGATATGCTAAACGCTTTACAGTAATTATCTCATTTGATCCTGACAATACTCTTGGGAGGTAAATGCTATTATCCCCATTTTACAGTTGGAATCTGAGGCAGGCAGAAGTTAAGTGACTTGCCTAGGATCACATAGCTGGTAACTGTCTTGAGCTGGATAGAAGCACTTATGAGGGAATTACCGTAGAGCTAATTTTTGTTGCATGTGAGGGATTATATAGTCTCTGATATCCCTTCCAACTCTTTAGATTTTGCAATTTCAGAGGTGGCAGAGATGCCTTATTTCTGGGTTGCAGGAAATCTGCTGGGGTCAAGGCTCAGGGAGCCTTAATGGAGGAGGTAAGAGGCTTTGAAACGTGGGTAGGAATGTGATGAGTAGAGGGAAGAAAAGAAGAGAAAGCAGCCCATTAAAGGACAAGATTTGGGGCATGTGTTTGGGAATTCTTGAACAATTCAGAATGTGTACTATGACTCCAAATTGCCTATCCCAATAAATGTTGCCCTTCAGAGTAGTCAACTATATGGAGATAATCACTTTACTTTAATGGTGCCATCATTGCTTCAAAGTTTCTTGGCACTCCTGATTAAGACTTGCTCTCAGAGCCAGTTTGTGCCAACCAGGAAAATCACTTATTACATTGTAGCTACATCTTAGGTTTCTTGTCTATTTATGGCTTTTGTTTGTACATCACACTCTTTTCTGAATATACCACTATGGCCTTTCCACTTGGCAAGCCTACTCCTAGAATAAAAATTTAAGGAAAAAAAGAAAACCCAAGAAGGAGCTGTATCTATCCCCTCACCTACCCCATCTGTATTTTTATTTATTTATTCAGTGTTCCACACCCATAGACTCCTTCCTCAGCGTTAAAAGGAGGGAAATGCATTTTTTCAAGTCTTCTCAGAGGCCCAAGCTAGGTCATTTATTATCATATAGCATTTAGCTTCATTTTATTATTGTTTCCATTTACATTTTTGTAGTCATTATGCATACTGTTTTCAACCCATCAATTTATGTCTTTCCATGTTTCTCTGAATTCTTATATTTGTCATTTCTTACAGCACGATAATGTTCCATTACAGTATGTCCCATACTTAGTATAGCCATTCTGCAATTTAACACTTTTCTTTTTGAGTGAAATCAACCCCTGCTTCCATCCTCTACCTTATTCACCAGACTTGACCTCAATTTACTTGAAACTATTTTTTAAAATTAGAAAGGTTCTCAGAAGGATGAAGAGCTACTCTTACCAGTGTTAGTCTAAAGAATGTACCATAATTCCAGAGGCAATTTCCAAATAAATTTCAAAAATAGTTTGGACAATGGCCTTATTTTTGGAATTGTAGGTATATATTATATTAAAGCTATGTGTGTATATATACATCTATATACATACACACAATGTGTGCGTGTGTGTGTGTGTGTGTGTGTGTGTGTGTGTGTGTGTGTGTATAATCAAGATGTAATTTTCCCCATACAAGTTCATGGACCTCAGGATGACAACCATTGAGAAAATAAAAGTATTCCATTCATCGATGCATATCACAACCTTTGCACGTATCCTCTCCATGAAGATTATCCTGTCTTTCAGATTCTCTGAAGAAAATGTTCTTGGAAGCTTTCCCCTTGATTTTTCACCTTTCATGATGAGTACCAGGGGAATGCTCAGAATCCCTGTTAACCCTTTTTTCACTAAGACCAGCTACTTCTCTTTCCAGGCATATATTTCCTAATGTAGTCTTTATGTAAGTAATAATCCTTGAAAGCAGAGGCTTCCAAGATTTTTTAAACATCATTTATCCCTAACAGTAAAAAATTTTGAGGTTTCCAAACTAATGTTCTCATAATAGCCCTGTTGGTCAGTTAACAAGTATTTTATTAAACTCCTCCCAGGCTTCAGGCACTAGAGATGTAAAATAAAAAATGAAGCTGCCGCTCCTGAGGAGTTTACATTTTATAGAGGGGAAGACAGCACAGATCCATAATTCCATAAGGATAAAAATGAGAACTGTACCTGTGGTTTCAGTGGCATAGGAAACTCTCCACAAGTGCATGTCAGCACCTTTTCTGCATTTTCTTGTTGTAGAGATTGCCTAGAGCAGCATAGTTGAAGTTTCTGGGGCCACTAAACCATATGTAAAATCCTCGTGGGCTGCATATTGATTTAGTTTTAAAGAATCTAATGTTACCTATATTTTATTGTATTTTTACTTATTTTGTCAGGTATTTCCCAATTACATTTTAATCTGGTTCAGGGTACTCAGGAATGTTTTGGGTTGCATGTGACCAGCGCATGTTTGACACTTCTGGCCTAGAGCACTAGGAGATTGGCTTGTGCAGGATCACAGAGCCAGTATGTCAGAGGCAGGACTTGAATCCAGATCTTCCTGGCTTCAAGGCATACTCTCTGTCAGCGATGGCACACTACCTCATTTATAAGTATATGTAAAATAAATACAAGGCAACTTTGGTAGGGAAGATAGGACACAGGTGATAATATTGCTTATTTCTTTTAACGAGTGTTCAAGGAATATTTAAACACATTGCTGACATTAATGAGAGCCATCATTTCATCTGTGCAGTGAGAGATAAAGATAAATAAGCTGTAGACCCTGCCCTGGAGCATATAATAATAATAACAATAACTAATGATAATAATGATAGCTAGCACGTATGTAGAGCTTTAAGATTTACAGTACATACTTCACAAATAGCGTCTCATTTTATCTTCACGTCAACCCTAGGAGGTAGGTATTATTTTCTCTGTTTTACTGATAAGGAAACTAAGGCTGATTTCCCACTGCTAATAATTGTCTGAGGTAATGATCTTGGTAAGATGTGTCATTGAACTGTCTTTTGTCACTTTAAACTTGTTTTCTTGTTTTTTTTTTCAGATGACGATGTGGATTTGGAAGCTTTGGTAAATGACATGAACTCCTCATTCGAAAGTTTGTATTCTACATGTAGCATGCAGTCAGAAACTGCCCCCCTCCTTCAAAATGGTCAACATAACCGAGGCCAGTTGCCAACCTCAGGAACAAGTGCCCTCCAGCAGCAATTGTCCCCGAAACAGAAAGTTCAGCGCTCTCAACCCGTGCACATTCTAGCCGTCAGGTAGGATAAGAAAGCTTCTTGGAGAGCTGTTGTGTTTACTAAATGAAAGGATTGTGAGTAACCTGTACTCTGCATGTTAAATTACGCTAAAGCTACTTTTCTTCCATTTTATCCTCTTTGCTTTGGGTAGAAATGATGGCCAGAATGACTTGCAAATAATAGAAACCTGTATTTCCAATTAGTTGCTTTAATTTGACTATGCAAATATATTGTAAATGGGAAGCTGTGCTTTATCATGCATAGGCAAAACCCAAGTAGTTAAAATTTGTTGGTTTGTTTTGATAAAGGTTTTAAAATTGGCAGCAGTTTCACATAACTGATGAGAACTGGACCTAAATTTAAAAACTTGTCTCAAAAACTTATTAGCTACATGGTTTTAGGCCTGCCTCTGTGTCCCTTGATTTCCTCCTCTGTAAAACAAGGGGGTTAGACCGTGGATATCATTGAGGAGGTGCTGTTGCCCTCTGGAGCTAGATAAAGAAAGCACAATGCCTTCTACAAAGAGGAGTATGTAGAAGACCTTCCCATCTATGGCATGGGTATCTTCCTTTTGGACAATGAACAGAATGCTTAGTTGTACTCTTGAAGGTCCCTTCCAACTCTAAATCCATGAGCCTGCAATTTTTAACACTGTACTTTAATTACATGCTTTTTATTTTAGTTTGACTGCACCAAAAAATGGGCCTGTGTTAATATATTGGACTTTGTTATTATAGTTTTCTGGCTATGAACCAGGAAGTAAAAGCAGGCTGCTTTTGTGCCCTCTGTGACCACAACCTACCTCTTCATGCTCTCTGATCTTCTGGCTCAGCCTATTAGGTATCAATTACTTCAGTTATGGCTCCCAAGTCACTTCTCTTTAGGTGTGGACAGTTGTATCTAGCCACCATTTGCTTCAAAAGCCACTAGGTAGGCCCTGTTTCTAGAAGCTAAAATTCTTGATTGCACAGTACTGATAATGAGACATGATATCCATTACAGAGAGGTGGTGGATTTGGGGGTGTGGAATGAGGGATGTGTATATAGCCATTGGGGGAATAATGGTTTTGCTTGATTATGAATATTTTTTACAAAAACAGTTTTTCTAATTGGATGAAGAGTGGGAGAAAATATATTTCTATTAATTTTTTAAAAGGGAGGTAGCAGATGCTATGGATATGAATTGGTGTATGCCCTTTCAGATGAGTCTTCTGTATAATTAGTTTTATTTAATAGTTTTACTTTGTTATAAGAAACTTCTTATGAAGTGGGAGTAATCTATAAATTTATGTAATATAAAAACAAAACATATCAATAAAGTTGCGAAAAAACAAAACCAAACCAAATTTAGTAGAAAGAAAGAAAAGAGAATCCTTCAGTGTCTCAGCTTATCTATTATACATGGTGTATGCCATAGTTCAGTTTTATATTTACTGAAGTGACCAGTGCTTGACTTTTCTCTTCACTTTCCCTCAAGGCGTGTTTTTCCTTAGAAAGAATGTTGTGTTTTTGGTTTTTTTTTTTTGCACTGTGGATATGTCCTATATACCATAATGTTTTTTACCTGCCCCACTTCTGAAGGGGTGCCTCAATTTAAAAAAAAAATTACTTCCCCAAGATGGTGGTAGCTAGCCTCAGGAATTTATTTATTTATTTATTTATTTATTTTTATTTTAGTTTAGTTTAGTTTAGTTTTTTTAATTTTTTTTTCCATATGCTTTTGAGCTGAAAATTTTTTCTCCCTTCCCCCCCACCCTCCCCAAGACGGCACACAATCTGACATAGGCTTTACATTTACATACCCATTAAACATATTTTCACAATAGTGAAGTTGTAAGTAAAAATTAAAACCAATAGGAGGAGCCATCAGAAAGATGAAACAGAATTCAACTTAAGGTAAAAATAAGTGAGAGCGATTCGACTTCCATAGTTCTTTCTTTGGATGTGGACAGCATTTTCCATCCCGAGGCCTCTGGAGATGTCTTAGATCCTCGTAATGCTGAGAAGGGTTCAGTTTAACATTCTTAGTCATTGCTTAAAGTGGCTGCTATTGTATACAAAGTCCTCTGGGTTCTGCTCACTTCACTTGGCATCAGACCATATAAGTCTTCCCAGGTTTTTCTGAAGTCAGCCTGTTCATCATTTCTTATAGAACAATAGTATTCCATTGCACTCATATACCACAACTTGCTCAGCCATTCCCCAATTGATGGGCATCCTCTCAATTTCCAATTCTTTGCCACCACAAAAAGAGCTGCTATAGCCTCAGGAATTTAGGTGCACAACAAGTTGTGAGTTAAGCACTTTGCAAACCTTACAGTGCTCTAGGAATTGAGGTGTCAAACACCTGACTGGCTAGGGCAAGGGCTGCCAGCTTCACTCCCAAGTGCAGCCAAACCAGATAACAATGCATCTGGGAAATGCTTAGCATAATAAATAAAAATGTTAATATGTGGTTAGTATCTGGCCTACAGGGATCTTTATGTATAGTTTAGTGGCCTCTTTCTATTTGGGTTTTGACACCCCTGCTCTAGAGATGTTAGTGATAACTGTTAAGTAGAGTAGTTAAAATCACAAGTCGTTTCACAATGTCATTTCTAAGAATCAAAGAATTTCCGAGTTGGGAGGGATCTCAGAGACCATTATCTGCAGGGAAGAACATCTGTTCAACAAGTGGTCATCCACTAATGAGGAAACATCCATGACCCCCACAAGAACACAATTCCACGTTTAAATAGTTCTAATTTTTAGGAAGATTTTCTTTCTAGTGTCCACCTCAGAGCCCCCTGAAGCTAGCAGAACACGCTGAATCCCTCAGTCAGTCAGCAAGCGTTTATTAAGCCGTTATAATGTTCTGGGCAATATAGTAAACACTGAGGATGCAAAGAAAGGCAAAAATATGGTTACTGTCCTCAAGGGCTTTTATTCCCCTGCTTTTTGACAGCTTTCTACTTGTTTCTTCCTTCCTATATGTTTCAGATCTGAGTTTTTCTACTTTAATTAGAGTATGGCCTCCTTTGGGCAGTCTGGTGAAACCTATGAGACCCAATCTTACAGTAAGGTTTTTAAATATAGAAAAATTTTTGAAATACTTAAAAAAAACTCAGGGACACTGGGTTAAGAACCCCTGATTTAGATACTAACTATCAAACATTTTGAGTGTTAGTAATCCAGATAATCAATTTATATATTTCTGTAATCAGAAAAGAACTTCCATGTAGTTCAGGAGAATAGTGAAATTTCCTTCAGTAAATTTTATTAAAATCATGTCAGTCTTTTTTAAATTAAGAAAAATCATCCCATAACAGATATACAAATAAATGATATTTTCTAAGAGCTAAGTTCAACATTTTGATCAATCTTAGCATTAAAAGATGATAACCCTTGCTTAATGATTCTATAACACAACGAAATTTGTAGTCACGTGAGGTACACTGAGTTTAATGTACCATCCAGAGCAGGGATTTTTAACCTGGGATCTGTGAACTTAAAAAAAAAATGTGATATTTTGATAACTATTTCAATATGATGAGTTTGCTTTGTGGTCCTATGATCTTATTTTATCCATTTAGAAATTTTCCGAGAAGGGATCCATAAGCTTCATTAGATTGACACAAAAGAGGTGTTAAGAGGTGTTTTCTTGAATTAAAAAAGCTTTCTTGTCATCTTTTGACCTAAATAATTTTCCAGATAGTCCACAAGCTGTTACTTAGACCATTTCCCCTTCAACATTGGACAGAGTGCTAGCCCTGTAGAAGGGAAGAAATTCAAGCCCATCCTCCTGACACTCAGTAGCTGTTTGACCCTAGGAAAGTCACTTCACATCTGGCTCTCTCAGCTTCCTCAGCTATAAAAAGGGGGTAATCATAGCACCCACCTCACAAGGGTGGTTGTGAGGATCAAATAAGATAATATTTGTAAAAACATTTAACCCAGTGCCTGAACCATAGTAGGCACTTAATAAATACCCGTTCGCTCCATCCCTCCATTTAATATATTTCTTATTTACCTTGCATTTTATGACTGAGTTTCAAAATCATTTTTGTGCCTAACTTTTCCTCAGCTCTGAAATAGGAGAGTTGTGTAATGATAGCAGCTAGTTGCTACTTCAGAACTGATACAATCATTAATTACTATTTCAGTGGGATCTTCATGATGTCAAGGTGACATGGGACTTTGGTTGTTTGTGGGTTCTTATAAGGTTGGTTGTTATACACATTTGATTGTATAATATTCATACTTTTAAATCTGTTCTTTTTTTCTCGACCTAAGGGCAGTTGTAGGCATTAGTCATATTCTCTGTTATTTAAAAACACAAGGCATATTTATTATTACTTGTGGCAGTTTTATTGACCACTGTTAATGTCCCTGAAATAAAGTTAATTGTTCACCATTCTTTAAATAAGTTAATTTTATCTGCAGGTTTTGCAACCACATTTTAAATTATTACCTTATCCGTTACTCATCAACAGTGTAAAAAGCTACAAAGTAGCTTTTAACCAACTTATTCAAGGTTTCTGAATAGAAACGACCATTTGTTTTTGGAGAAGTTCCACAGCAGTCTTTTTTAATAGTGAGTTTATACTAGCATCCTTTCATAGGTGAGTTGCTGAGCATTTTTCCTTATGTGAATCTTTCAGGAACATCACAGAGAATCTTGTTAAAAAGAAAAGCGCACTAAGCTTCAGCAATTGACCATTTGAAGCAAACACATTCTTTTATTATTTAAGTCATGTTGGTTAAGTTGCTCATCCTCCCTCACTTTCCTCATTTGTAGAATGTTGGAGCTTTACTAGATGTTCTCTATTCATGGTCCTTTCCAGCTCAAAGTCAATGATACTATAATCTTCCTGAGCATGAACTATTTGAATCAAGTACATTTTGTTGAAATTACTTCAAGATTTTCATAATGTAATTATTATACTGCCAACTCAAATATCACCCTACTTAACTACGTGCCTCTTCTCTGTTCCCTTCAAACTTCATCCAACTCCTTAGTTTCTGGCTGTGCCCCTCATTTGGGGCATCCTAAGATCCTCTCCTTAAATACTTCAACGGATCCATATTCTCACCAATGCCATTAGCCCCTTGATTGGAGCCAACAGTAACCCATCCACTACTTGCCACCCTCTTGTCCATGTCCTCCCATAAATCCTTTTTACAGGATATGTACAACATGCTAGAGATCTTCATACAGGTATTTTAGCATTCCATGATCATCTACCTGATCACCACATAAACTATCCTATCCATCCATTACCTCTCACTCTTGCTTCTCAATTGACCCATATTCTCTAATCATACTTTTATCTTCTATACTGCTTCTTTCATGCAAGTCAGCATTAGTAATGTGCAACATCCTGCTTATACATACCGTGCATTTCTCCATTGCTCACTGGGCCACCCACAATTTTGAATCTTCAGAAAGTGTCATCTTCTTTCTGTAGTGTGCCCTTCTTATCTAAAAGGGTATCTGTCTTCCATTTGAACAATGAGCAGAATGCCCCCTGTATGACAATGGCGGGCATCTTTGCTGAGCATATAGCTCCCTGTTTTATGCCTTATTTGAAAATGATAATCACTGTATCATAGGTAATAGCAACCTCAGCTACTATATTAGCTCATCAGTGCCTTTTCATGGTAGCAAGTCACAACCATTTGCAATATTGTCCTCTTTGTGAATAACTGATATATAGCACCTTTGCAGTATGTACTGGTGTGGCTCATGAGGGCAAGAATCTCCAGTAATTTTTAAGCCAAGGCAGGGGGATTCTAAAATTTCTCTCCCTCTCCTTCTCTTTTTCAAAGTGGCGTTCTCTTGAACAAATGGAACATAAAAAAAAAATATCCCAGAGTCTTGGACTCTTTCCTAAAACCCCACCTCATATTTGTCTTATGGGTTTAAATCTGAGGTCTCCTAGCCAGAGTATGAAGAAAAGGATATGGTTTATAAGTCAGTCATCTATTACTTAAACAAGGGTTAGACCCTTGAATTGGATCCTGTACCAAGGTGACAGCTGTTATGGGAAGCATGGGGCTTGTTAAAATTAAAAATAACTTTAATGGCATATAATCAAGCCATTATAAGAATGACCTTCATAATTACACAGCACTGAGTTCATTCATTCACTGTAATCTATTGGACTTTTAAATTAGCATATCTATTTACACAACAAAAGTTTCTGGTTGGCATGGCTAACTCCTTTAAAACTAGAAGAATAAAATATTTTTTTAAAAACAGAATAATCTAAAGTGATGAAATTAAAGTATATTTAGGTCATGAAATGCATCTCTTAAAAAGGGAAGGAAACACATTTTAGTTCACCTAATATGTGTAATAATTTGATAGAAGATACATCAAATGCTGAATATAGTAAGAAGGACTTTTAAAACACTGTTTGTAGCATGAAGAAAAGAAGAGATGGGTTTACTTCTTTGAGAAGATGGTGTAGTGTTAAAAGATTACACAGCATTGGTACAACCATTCTAGAAAGCAGTTTGGAATTATGCAAAGCAAGTGGCTAGAATGGTCGTCCTTTGTGTCTGAGAAATTACACTGCTAGGCATATATATACGCCAGCGAGGTCACTGATAAAAATAGAACCTTCATACACTCCAGAATACTTCTAGTAGCACTTTTTCATAGGTAGCAAAGAATTAAAAACGAAATTGATGCCCATGCATTGGGGAATGGCTAAACAAATTGTGGTACATGAATATGAGATATTACCGTGTTATTAACAATGAGCATGATGTGAATGCATGAGATACATGAACTGACTCTTCAAATCAAAGGTAAGCAGAGTCAAGAAAATAATATACACAATGACTACCCCAATGTAAACGTACAGAACAAAATCACAAAATAATCAAGATTGTTATAACATTATAAGAAACAAGCATGATCCTAAAGAGAAGACATGAGAAGATACCTTCACTCTTGCAGAGGTGAGAGGTCCACAACTGTGGGACGTTGCATATGTTTTTAGACTTTTTCAGCATATTGTTGTTTTTACTGATTCCCCTCCCTTTTTTTTTCTTTTAAAAGTATTCTTTTTTATATGGGATGACTTTTTGGGAGGAGGAGAGATACTGGGGAAAATTTAGACAATAAAAGAAAACAATGAGAATTTTTTAAAAAAAAAAGCAATGAGCATGATGAATATATGAGGAGCATGGAAAGATACATGAAAAGCACAGGATCCTAATGAAGAGATGTGAGAAGACATCCCTCCTTGCCCCTTTACAGAAGTGGGGGTCCACAGATGTGTAATGTTGCCTATAACACGATATTTTGTTCATGTGTTTAGTTTTACTGAATTTTTTTCCTCTTTCTTTTAAAAAATGCTTTTTTTTTTTACAGGGATGACTGAGAAGGAGGGGAAGAGAAGGAATGGGGGGGAATCTAGCTGATATAAAAGCAAAAGTAGTCAAGATCTATTTTTTTTTAAAGAAATGACAGAGAAATTGCAGATCTACTGAACTCCTGTAATTTCTTCCATTGACTCTAATAAGGAAAATAGCTCCAGTTTGAAAAATGTTAAAATAGCATCAAGAAGGTTGGTAGTCAAGATACATGAAGAGATAGTGACAGGGTTCTCAGCTACCTTACATGAGTCCAAGTCTCTGGGCCTGGCTAAATAACACCCTAGGTTACTGATTTAACTTGCTGGTATGATTCCAGAATCATTTTCAATGATCTGTAAGACGTCATGAAAGATGGTAGAGGGAGCCATGGGAATGAAAATAGATAACAGGGAAAAGGAGGGGGAAAGGGGAATTTGGGAAATTATAAATAATAATAGTTACTGAAAGTTTGTTAACTGCTTTACAAATATTATTTTATCTTCACAACAACCTTGGGTGGTAGGTGCAATTCTTATTCCCTTTCTATAGTTGAAGAACCTTGAGGCAAACAGAAGTTAAGTGACTTGCCCAGGGTAACACAGCTAGGAAGTGCCTAAGGACAGATTTGAACTCTAGTCTTCCTGACTCCAGGGGAGAAAGGCTCCTTGTAGGAAGTGATGTTTGAACTGAGCCCTGAAGCTTTAGAATGCAAATTTTGTTTCATTATTAGGAAGGATTTTCTTACTAGAGTTGTCTAGGTGGTTGTTTGTCAAGTATGCTGTGGAGAATACTGTCTTGCTTACCAGTTGTTGTTGAGTCTTTTTCAGTTGTGTCTGACTCTTCATGACCCCATTTGGCAAAGACATTGGAGTGGTTGACCATTTCCTTTGTCAGCTTATTTTACAGATGAGGAAACTGAAGCAAACAAGGTTGAGTGACTTGCCCAGGGTCACACAGCTAATAAGTGGCTGAGGCCACATTTAAACTCAGGTCTTTCTGACTCCAGTCCAACTCTGCAACACCACCTAGCTGTCTTAGGTTGAGTTAGATGCCTGCTAATGCCTCTTCCAACTTTTGAGGATGACAGTATCATAGATGTATAGCCAGAAGGGACCTCAGGAAGCACTGAGCTCCCTTTCCCCATTTTATAGAGGAGATAACAGACGTGGAGCAGTGAAATGACTTACACAGACTTACACAGCTAACAGGTGTCTGTGGCAGGATTTGCACATAGTTCTTTCTGACTCTTAAGTGCATTGTCCTCTCAGGATACCTCACAATCTTAAGATCATCTAAAGTCATAAATTCAAAAGAAAATTCCCTTTACTGAATGAGTGCCAATCAGCAAGCTTGCTGGACATGCCTTCTAACACACTTTGTGACTTCTTAATTGTCCCACAGATACAGACAGCATCCTTTTGCTTCTTTCATAACTCCACCACTTCAAGGAGGGTCCAAGATGAACCTCTTTACCTTGACTCTCAGATACAGTCAACATCCTTTTGCTTCTTTCATAACTCCACCATTCCAAGGAGGGTACAAGATGAACCCCTTTACCTTGACTCCAAAATTTTTATGAAAAGGATTGTTATTTAAGTTGAGATTACTTCTTATGTATGAGGCAAATTTCTCAACAGAGACCGAAGGAGAAGGAATGTTATAAGGGGATTGAGGAGAGATCAGAAGGTTTAGATCAGGAGGAGAATGGGATGGGGTAGAATGGACAATGAATAATAAGCATGTATGACTGTGCTATCTCAGTATTCCCAGAGGGGGTGATCCTTACTTCTCAAGGACTTCTCAATTCAGTTGTTAATGTACAGTTTTGCTTTCACTCCAGACGCCTTCAGGAAGAAGACCAGCAATTTAGAACCTCTTCTCTGCCCGCTATACCAAATCCATTTCCTGAGCTTTGCAGCCTCACTAATTCTCCTGTTCTTACCACAAGCTCTTTACCTCAGAATCAACCAGCCAGCAAGCAGGTGAGTGATTTTTTGTCTGGTGCCAATGATTATTTCTTGTGATTTTTAAAAATATTGATTGGTTTGTTATTTTTGGGAAAAGGAAAGGGAAGGAAAGTGAGCATTTCTTTCTATACACATGCATATAGACGTATAGTTTTTACAGTGAGAAGGGGTGTATGATTATAGATAGAGAGCAACATTCAGAGTAAGGATGACCTGGCTCTAAGTCCTGCCCATCCCCCAAACTGGATATGTGACCAAGGTCAAGTCACCTAACGAAGAGGCAGCTCTCCAAAATTATGTGTTTCAGAGCAAGTATCTTGGTAGAGAAAGTTTCTCACCAGGAGATCCCTACAGTAATGAAATCATAGGTCCAGTTTTTATAGATTATAAAATAGATTTAGAAAATTTTTAAATTTATACATGTTTAAAAAAAAAAAGACTTATTCAGTCACCTGAAACTTCCTATGCCCTAGGCAGCTTTCTAAGACTAATCTCCACTGGTAGTGGAAATGTCTTCATCGTCTCACGGTTCCCTAGACCCAGTGAAATCACAAGTCCATTTCTGAGAGAGAGAGAGAGAGAGAGAGAGAGAGAGAGAGAGAGAGAGAGAGAGAGAAGAGGGAGAGGGAGAGGGAGGGGAGGGAGGATGTTTTAAGCTTAAAACTGCACTAAGACTTTTGGGACAATTTGTGTTGATCCAGGTGTATGTAGGTATATAGATATGTATGAATGTGTATCTGTGTGTCTGTGTATGTACAAGTACACAGATACACATATATGCTTATATACATATATTGTATGAAATATAGTTACTTCTGTGGGATTTAGATTTGATATATGATAAAAACATAAATTAATTTACTTCATTAACTTCTGATATTTACCCTGTTGACTTCTGATAACATTGATTATAATGAGTTGCTTTTTTTTAGAGGTATGTCTTAACAAAAGGACCATAGTCTAGCAATACTTTCAATGAGGATACACATATGTATATATGTATTTATGTGTGTATATCCCTTTGTAATTGCAAAACACTACATGAATGAAAGCAAAGATATGTTGAGAGAGGGAAAACTGTATGAATGTACGTGTACAGTGTATACACACTCTGACATGGGAATTCTTTTGTTTACTTCTGCCTTCAAGAAAAGGCAGTATTATACAGTGGTGAAGGAAGAGATCTCAACTAGCCTGGGGCTCATGAGATGTGAGATTCTGAATTTTCTAATTCTCAGTGTTTTCATCTTCAAAATTGGAATTATAATATTTGTAATACCTATATCCATCCCCCCGCTTCCCTTTCTGAGGCTGCTTTGAGGCTTTAATGAGATCAATGTGTACAAAGTGCTTTGCCAGTCTTAAAGCACCATGTAAATATCAACTGTTTTATTATTATTGTTATTGTCCACCATGTTTTCTGTGTCACTTTGGACCTGCCATTTGATCTCTCGGAGTCTTAGTTTCCTTTCCTGTCAAGTTGAGACAGTCGTCCCTACTCTGTCTACCTCTCAAGCCTGTTTTGAGGCTTTAGTGAATAAATCAATATGCAGACACTTTTTAGAAATCTAATGTAGGCCACAATAAAAGAGATGATTATTAACTTGAAAGAAAGTTAGATTATATTTTTACAGAACCATATGGAGCAATTAGAGTTTAGAATGGTTATTCTCACTAGATCTTGTTACTGTCTCTGCAGGCAAAATGTTTAATTTCAAAGGTCGTTCTCTGGCAACCTCAACTATCTAAAACATGGCCAAAAACTAGAAACTAAGCATAAAATGTTTCTGATTAACTTAAGCTGAGGGCACAAAGTCCACTCTAGTGCACCTTATTCTTATAATTGCCATTGAGACCTTTATTCAAAGGTGGTTTACAACTCTTGTCAGTCTCTGTAAGTGGATTCCCAGACCACAGGAGATGTGGAAAGGGCCGCCTCCCAGTATGTAAAAGTCTTCAGGATGAGACTGGATAACCTTTTATTGGGAAGGAATGAAGGAGTTTTGGGGGCTCTTTTTTTGATTCATGAGTTAGATTAGATGGCAACTTAAGTCCTATTCAGCACTAAAACTCTTATGTTTTTGTGATTGACTGACTACATTTCACTCATCTTAAAAATGTACTTGTACAGAATTCCCCAGCCCCTAAAATAAGTGTTGTGCTGCTGTGATTTCTTTACATCTCAGTTTGGAAATTCATGTTTCTTAGCAAGGAATCCACACAAGCAATGTGACAGAAGAGGTTGATATCAGGCAGTTATAGAAAAACAAAAAATGAAGAAGATTTTAGCTACTCTAGAAGTGAAAAAAGAGGGCAAAAGCCCTCTCATAATAAAATTATCATAATAAGCAATAATAATAAGGCATTATATTAAGTTGATAAACCTTATTATTTAAAGTAAAGGAAATAAGTTGGGGGATGGGAGTAGTATTTTGTTCTTTACAAGACCAAGAACTTTGGTTCTACTAAAGTCATTCTCTTTGATGGCTACCTCACTATGGCATGGAGGTGACCCTAAATTGTCAAAGTCTTTGTCAGCTTAAGCATAAGCCAGGCCACGTCTTACCAAACTGTAAATGTTTGTAACATAAAAGCAAAATACATCAATAAAACTGAAAACAGAAAACCATTCGGAAAGGCTTTGAACGTGAACCTGGCAGAGGACTGACTACGCATGAGCGTATGGCATAGTGGAAAGAGTAGGGGACTTGGAGTCAGGGAATTTGGATTACTTGAGTTCAGCTCCCAGCTCTGCTACCTCTCTATGTGACCTTGTGCGCTTTACTAAATTAAGGTCCTATCCAGCTTAAAATCTAGGCTGCTCCTTTGCTTTGGGGGACCATTTCAGGAAAATGGGGAGAGATCTGTCACCAGGTGATGAGTTTTTTTCCCCCAGTGCAAAAATTTTTGAGTTTGAAATTCCACTTAAAGTTGCCCAATTTAGGTATCTGAGAGAAGTCAAAATTTGTTTTAGTTCAGGTCCACTAAGTATGGATGTCCTCCAAGGCTTTGTCCTGGTCCTTCTTTTTTCTTTCTACATTCTCACCTGGTGATCTTACCAGCTGATCAGTTGAATCTATGGGATTCAATTACCTCAATGCAGAGTATTCCCATAACTCTTCATATATAGGCTTATAACCTCAGCGTCATCCTTAATTCCTCACTCTCATTCCACATTTCCAGTCTTTTACCAAATCTTAACATTTCCACCCTTCATTTAGACTGTGAATTCCTTGAGAGCAGGTCTTCTTGACCTTTCTTTGTATCTGCAGCACTTCACACACAGGCACTTACTAAATGCTGGTTGACTTTGACTTCCTATCTCTTATTTGAAATGTCCCCTTCCCTTCACTCATGGAGCCATCACCCCAAGTCAGACCTTCGTCACCTCTTACTTACATCATGGTAAAAGCCTACAAATCAGTCTCGCTACCTTAAGTCTCTTCCCACTTCAATCCACCATCTATCCGATCAGCAGCCAATGTCATATTCTAAAGCTCAGGTCTGACCGGGTTACTACTCTGCATAAACTCCAGTGGCTCCCTGTTATCCTAGGATCAAAGCTCCATGTTTAGCATTTAAATTTCTTCATAACCTTGCACCTTTCTACATGTCCAGTCTTCTTAGTTTCTGCTCCTATCCATATACTCTGTGATCTATCCATGTTAGCTCTTTGCTGTTCTCATATAAGACACTCCATCTCTCCTCTCCACAAATTTACACTGGCTGTTCTTCATGTCTAGAATGTTCTCCTTCCAATCTCTAACTATAAGGCCCCTCTGGCTTCCTTTAAGGCTCAGTTCACTGGCCTCGGACACATAATACTTCCTAGCTGTGTGACTCTGGGCAAGTCACTTAACCCCAATTGCCTCACAAAAAAAAAAAAGGACTCAGTTCAAGTGCCATCTTCTCTAGGATTCTTTCTTGAACTTCCCAGCTGCTATAGAATTTGAGCTCCTTGCTATGAACTGGTGAAGCCATTTGGGAAAGGCAATATGTATCTGTGCCCCTCAAAGTTACTGAACTGTGATTATCCTTTGACCCAGTGATATCATTTCCCAAAAAGATCACAGGAAGAGAAAAATAGACCCATAGGTACAATGATATAGCAGCTCTTTTTAATAGTGGCAAAGAATTTGAAACTGAAAGGATGCCCATCAGTTGGGGAATGGCTGAGCAAATTATGGTATATAAATGTAATAAAATACTGTTGTGTTGTAAGAAATGATAAAGAAGAGTTTGAGAAAAATGGAAAGACTTGAATAAGCTGATGCAGAGTGACGTGATCAGAACTAGAACAATTTATACAGTATTAACAATATAGTAAAGACAAACAACTTTGGAAGGCTTAAAAACTCATATCCGCTGTTACCAACCATACTTCCAGAGAGCTCATGAAGAAACATGATACCCATTTTCTAACAGAGACAGATAGACTCAGGATATAGTTTGAGACATAAAATTTATATGGATATGGCCAATATGGGAATTTATTTTGCTTGACTGTGCATATTTGTTACCAGGGTTTTATTCAGTATGCTTCTGTTCTAATAGAGCAACTGTATGCAAATAAGTAAGTACATGTGGAACACACAGACCAGATGGAAAGTCGTCTTAGAGGAAAAACTGATAGCAACTTAGGGGGAAAGGGAATGGCCTTGTATGGAAGGAAGAGTTTGACCTGAAGTTGAGAACCATGTTTTAAAATTTGAAGTAGCTGCTGAGCTTAAAGCATATTTGGATCACAAGCAGAATACTCTCTTGGTTTGGCTGGTAAATCCCTAAAGGAATATCAGAGCAGCCTATAGGAACCTGCCCCTGTCCAAGCTGACTACTGAATGGTTTTACACAAAATCTATTTTTGGTGAAGAGCTGAGATAATGTTATCAAGGCAGCCTGGATTCTAGCCCTAGCTCTTCTAATAAGAATTGAGCTATGTGACCTTGGGAAAATGATTGACAACGCCCCCTCCCCGGGGAAAAAGAAAAGAAAAAATGTACCTCAGTTTCCTTATC